CACAGCCTGGCAAGTGCCCTGACTAGGAATGAAACTGCATGACCTCCTGGTTCATAGGCGGAAGCTCAACCAGAGAGCCACACCTGCTGGAGGGCATCGGTGGTGTTAACGGTCTCCTCTTCAGTCAAAGCTCCAAAGAACAGAAACGAAAACATTTGAGAATCGGAGGCAAACCTATCAGGCACTGGAGGCTCCGGGTCCTTTGGGAGGGACTCTGCTCTCCAACCCTCACCCCCAGCCTGTAACCCTGCAGCTGTGAGAACATTAAAGGTTAGAGTCATTATTATTCTCTCCAAGGACATATTTTCATTTTGGGTATAGAATGACTTCTTTTTGTGAAAGATGAGTTTGTTGGCCTAGCCACACCAGCATGAACATGCAGTTCTGTGGCTACTCAAGCTCTTCTGTGCCAGTTAGTAAATGGCAACCCTGGACTCTCCCTCTCTCCTTGCTGCCCCCTCTCACCGCCAGGAGCAACCCAGCCCCCATCTCCCCAGGACCAGAGCTACAGGGGAAAGGGGATTCTGGTCCCGACTCCCAAGCGCCTTCAACACCCACCCCTTCACCCGAGCAGCTTGTTTTCCAACTGTTTTATATATTGGCTTCAGGTAAGGTTTGGTTTGCAGAAAGTATTCAGTGTGAAAACTGTTGGAAAATCCCTGCTCAAGGTCAGCCCTCAGACCCTTGCAAGCTCCCACAGTCCAGGATTTCAGCAGACTCAGACCTTGGCCCCTAAGCTGGCTCCAAATCAAATGAGGCAGAAAATGCTGGAGCCCAGGCTCAAAAAAAGGCAACAGGGAGTGGACGTGGCTCTATGCCCAGCCCTGTGCCAGGTGCTCACGTCCAGATCCATGATCCTGAGAGGTGCTCCCTTGCTCCCTTTCTTGCCTCCCTTCTCTTCCTTCAGGATTTACTGAGCACCACCAAAGGCAAAGCTCGCATCCCCAAAATCTCACTGGCCCGTGAGAACATCTTCCAGAAAACCACTGTGACTGGGGTGGGTGCAGGATGCAGGGGGAGCCCCTAGGGACTCAGGGGAGATTCTCCAGTGAAGTTATAACTGAGCTGGGATTAGAAGAAAGAGGAAGGGCACGGAAGCCGGTTTGGCTCAGTGGTAGAGCGTTGGTCTGCGGACTGAAAGGTCCCAGGTTTGCTTCCAGTCAAGGGCATGTACCTTGGTTGCGGGCACATCCCCAGTAGGGGGTGTGCAAAAGGCAGCTGTTCAATGTTTCTCTCTCATCGACGTTTTTAGCTCTCTATCTCTTTCCCTTTCTCTCTGTTAAAAATCAATAAAATATATTAAAAAAGGGGGGGGGGGTGAGGAAGGGCATTCCAGATGGAGGAACTGCATGTGTGAAGGCAAGGAGGCAGGAACTGTGGGAGGGTGGCTCCAGCCTGTCTGGGACCTATGGGAGAATGATGGAGCCCAGGTCCAGGAAATCTGCTGGGTGAGGTGGGGGTCCCAGAACCCACTACCTGGACCCACTGCCTCCTTTGCTTTTGGCTGCCTGGCCAGAAGAGGACCCGCCTACCTGTACTAAAGGAAGCTTTGAAGCTGAAGAGGGAGTGAGGAAGGAGAACGAGCTGGTGTGTATTTTTGGATTGCTTCTCAGAAATCTTCGCCTTCTCCTCCCCCTCCTCCAATACCATGGCAATCAGGGCCACCTATGAGCTGGGCTAAATTGAGGGGGAGGTGAGCTGGTGGTAGGGACCTCTGCTCCCCCTCTCTGAGCCTGTTTTGGCATCTAGAATATGGCCACAACAACCCAGTTGCTGGCTTCTGTCAATCCAGGTGCTCCAGGAAGCAGAGGTCCAGGCTGGACTCAGGGAGAAGGTAAGGGCGGGGCTGTGGAGGACCCTGCACCATCCTGCAGCTGGGGGCTGGGCCAGGTGGCTGGAGTCCCTGAACCATGTGGCCTGCGCTTCCCACCCAGCAGCCCGCCTGGTGTGTCCATTGCACTGTCACTGCCCAGGAGCCCAAGACAGCGGGAGACAGGACCGAGGCACAGACACAGGGATGGGTCTCCCTAGGAGCCCTGCAGTGAGAGGTCTTGGGGTCTCCCCTGCTGGGGCACAAGGCTCAGCTGTTCCCAGAACCCAGTCAAAGCCCCTAAACGAGGGTCCATGTTCTGGGGCTGCTGCTCTGATGACTAAGACTGACCTAAACCCACAGGAACATGTGCTCTCCCCGTTCAGGGGTCAGAATCTGAAATCAGGGTATCAGGGCTGTGCTCCCTTGGAGGTTCCAGGGAGGGTCCTTCCTGCCTCTTCAACGGTCCTTCCTGCCGCTCCTGGCGGCATCCCATCAATCTTCACGTGGCCCCACCCCTTGTTCACATATCCACTTCCTCTTCATCATGTGGCCCCACCCCCTTGTTCCTGTGTCTATTCTCAATTACATGGCCCTTCCCTCTTGTTCACGAGTCTACACTGACGTGTTCACTTGGTCCCACCTCCTTGAGGCCTCGGATATGTTTCCCTGGTGCCACCTCCCTGGCTGGCTGGCTGCCCTGCTCTCACACCTGTCAACAGTCCCTTTGCCAAAGTCCTTCCAGAAAATCATTTGCACGTGCCCTCTTTCCTGCTGGGACTGTGACAGCTGGGATTGAAAAGGAGATGGGGGGAGGTATCCTGTCCAGAGTCCATGTCAGAGGACCAGAGGGGCCTGTGCAGTCCCTGGAGGGCTGGGGGAAGGAGGGAAGGGTGGTGAGGCAGGGGTGCAGACTAGGGAGTGAATTGCCCTCAGGGCACGTGAGATGCACACACAATCACCCCACACTCCTGTGAGGAGCATGTGGCCCATTCTACAGGTGAGGCCACTGCAGCACAGAGAGGGTGAGAGACTTCCTGAGGGCACACAGTAGTGAAAAGGCAAAGCTAAAAACGGAAACATGGGCTGTCCAGAATGTGTATCTCCTTTACCTGTGATCTCTGGGTAAGTGGCCCCTCACTGTGGCCATTTGCTCTGATGAGCTTTACCCTTTCCCCCCACCCCACTCCTCCACCCTCAGCAGACAGGGCACACCTGTGTCACTCACTGCACCAGTGCCTCTGGGTGGCTGCTCTCAGTCCCACCGTCCCTCCCAGCTACTAACCTAGTCGGAGTCCAGCTGCCTTTGGGCGAGGGCCTTGTGTGGAGAACGCCCCGCCTCCCCTCGCCTTCTGTGGCTTCGATGACAAAGTACCATTATTTTTCCTGGGTCTGGCTTCCACCACCCACCTCCCTGGAAGATTTTGTTTTTCCTCGAAAAAAAAAATTGGTTCAGGGTCTGCAAACGGGCTGACTTCTTGCATTTGCTCTGTGAGATGTGGCTCTGCCTCCGTGCCTCCTGGTCCATGTCCCTGATGCCACCCCACCTCCTTGGCAGCATCTCTCATCCCCTGGAGCCCCCTGCAGCTCCAGGGAGACACTGAGTCATTAGTCCCCCAGGTCCTGCCTGCAGCCCTAGGGTCTACAAACCAGCCTGGGAGGAGCCGGTGGATTGATCCCTTTGACAGAGGGTGCAGACAACAGCTGGGCGCTCCGCCCCACCCCCAAACTCTGAGTGCCGAGTGAGCTGCCAACCAGCTCCTGGAGGACTCGGCCTGCGCAGTGTGCCCACCAGAAGAGACACATCTGCAGAGTGGCAGGTGGAACAGGCTTCCCAGGGCATCTGGGTGGCCACCTGGCCCCAAAGCCACCCTTCAGCCTCTCACTCACCCCTGCTGAAGGGGAACCAGCTGTGCTTTTTGCCAAGCCCAGCTGCCTGCCTGGGCTCTCTTGGGAGTTGGTAGAGGCTGTCGCCCTCTGCTGGCCTATTCCTGTTACTGCAGATGGTAAAGTCCCTGCCACCCAGCCAGAAAACCCTAATTGACAGTCCTAGAGGACACCTTGCAGAGGTGATGCAATGGTAGCCCCCCTGTGGATATTCTAAGAACAGCACCCTAGCAATGAATTGTGAGCCAGAAAAGAATGCCCTTGAATGAAATCGAACCCAGAACTCTTTAGTCCAAGGGCCAATGCTCTATGCACTGAGCACACCGGCTAGTAATGAATCCCAGGAGTCTGAAAATGAAAACACAAATGACAATCTTACACAGTTAAGTAGGGCAGGGCCCAGCGAGCCACAGGTGCCTTTTGTGGCTCTGAGCTTCAAAGCCAGGAGCTCATCCAGAGGGCAGGAAATCCAGGGCCCTGTGGGAGGGCACAGGAGCCACATCGTGCTGGGAGACAGACACCAGGGCCTGGCCTCGCCCCCCCCCCCCCCCTTTTAAGGGGTGAATGGGGGTGAGCATGACTAAATCAACCGTCAGAGTAAGTTGTCCCTGTATCACAAGGTGTAATGCCAGACAAGTAGGGGGACCTGCCAGAACCCCTCTTCTGCCCACAGGGGGGCAGGACACAGCCCCTCCCCCACTTCTTCCTCATGCTCTGCCCCACTGTATGCATTCCCCAGCCCATCCCAACCCTCACTGTGCCCACCCAGCGTGGCCCCTGCAGTGCAGCCCACTGGAATCCCCACCATTTCTCACCCACACTCTAGAGTCTCCCAGCACAGGGAGAATGGGTCTAACCTCTGGAGATGGGTGACACAGGTGTGCCCTCCCTCCAGGGGTCAGCGGGGATGCCTGCGGCCGCCCTGGCAGAAAAGGCAGCGTCTGCCACTGGACGCCAGTGAGAACTCTACACTCCAGACCGCATGGAAGAGGTGGCCCCAGGGGGTATGTGGGGGCCTCCGGGAGGATGGGGTGGGATGGGGGACAAAGAGAGGGAAACAGTAGTGGCTGCAGGGCCAGGCCACCCTCAGCACAGGTCAGGGAGACGCTGAGGACACACAGGCACTGACCTGAGAGAATTCTTTTTATTCGAGCAAACAGAGAGGATCAGAGTGTGAAAAGCTCTGCCTTCTGCCCACAGCCGCTCCACACAGGCTGCCGCCCCTGATGCCTCGGTCCCAAGGCCGGCTACTCCCTCTTGGGCAGCGGGGGCAGGAGAGACGGGGACATGGGCTGGGGGGGCCCTACAGAGCATCACTGCCCTCCCCCCACCCTTCCATACCGAGCTGCCAACAGCCCAGATCCAGTCGAGGGGAGAGAGGAGGAACCCAAGATAATCCACCCTGAAACACACCAAGAGAACCCCAGTCTGCAGCCCACAGCCTGGAGAAGCCCCGTCTCTCTGGCGACTTCTCAGAGCAGCAGAGCCGGGAGGTGGGGCCGGGCCGCAGAGAAGACAGGAAAGGAAGCCCGGAGGAAACAGAGTCCCCTCGGTGTGCTGAGCGGAGGAAGGAGTCCCAGGTGCTTCTCAACAAGCAGCACTTGTCCATCCAACAGGAAAATGGCGCGGGAAGCAGGCAGACGCCGGCTCCGGGGTCCACACGCTGCATGGCCTGGCCTGGGTAGCGTCACCTCTCCAACTTCCTGCCAAGCGTGCCCAAAACATGTGCGCACACAGGTGGACACACACAGGCACACGTGCCACCATCTCTGCACACGTGCACGCCTGTCTGGCCGTACGGCTCACCTCTCCTTCACATGGTTCTGTGCCCCTGCACCCCCGCCGCTGGCCCCGTCCGTGCTGCCCCCACTGTGGCCCCCGCCACTGCACAGCACCTCCGTGAGGTCGTCCATGACGGCGGTCTCTTTGGGATCCAGCAGGTTGAACTCCCTGGCAAAGAGGATGAAGTGGATGTAGAGGGTGTTCAAGTGTCCATGCAGCTCGAGCGCCAGGGTCTCCTTGAAGTGGGACGAGTAGATGTGGGCCAGCACGTGGAACAGGTACCTGCAGATCTTCTTCACCAGGGACTCAAAGGAGCTGGGGAACTCTCGGCCTGTGGACAGGGCCATGTCACCCTGGCCCTGCTCCCCACAGCACCCCTCCTGCCCCCTGGAGCCCTCACCAGGCAGGCAGAAATACCCCCGGCAGCCCTCCCTGAGCAGCCACCAGCACACACTCGAGTGACTTGTCCCCGGGGCCCAGCCCCTGAGAGCTGGACCTCCCAGGCCACCTCTGTGACCAGAGGTCAGAGATCCGCCAGATGCCGCCCCAACCTGAACTGGGCTCTGGGGTCCTGCATGCTTCCCTCTATGTGGCCTGGACCCAGGGGAGGCACACGGGGACGTCCTGCCAGCCAGGTTGAGGCCCTGGAAGCTCAGGATTACCCAGAGCCTGTCCGGCTGAGCACACCCACGCTAGCTGCTAGAGGACCACAGGTCCCAGAGCCTGGAGAGAGGTCATCTTGACCCAGGATGGCAGACAAGTCAGGCAGCTGCCTGCTCCTCACATGCAGCCACGCCCACCCGGCACCAAGGGGCACTCTGAGAGACCTACCATACTTCGTGGGGAACACGTCCTCGTCCGTCACCAGCTTCTGCACAGAGCTCATGACAAAGTCGACATACTGGGGGGCAGTGCACTTGACCTTCTTCCCTCGTTCGTCATACCAGTAGTACTGTCTGTGGGGACAGAGGCTGGTCACGGGCCACCCCAGCCACACAGCCGCCCTGGTCCAGGGGTGAGGGGCCTGCTGCAGGCCAGAGGTGGCACCAGGTGGGTGGCCACCATGTTGGAGGTGTGGCAGGCGCCCAGGCTTCTCCTCTGAGCCCCTGGGGACACACCTGTGGGACCTGCAGCGGCGTCTGAGAAGGGGCGGACTGTACCAGCCTGACAGAGTCCAGGGAAGAAGACCCCGTCCTCGCACACCTCCCATTGCACTTGCTGCAGAGCCACTTCGGTCCCACTCTGTGGCTGCCTGCCAGCTCACCCCACCTTGTCTGGCCCCGCCCCCCCTTGGGCTGTGCCTTGCAGTGGCTAGCTGGGGACATGAGGACACCTCAGCCACCCTGGTGCTCTTCCCCAAAAACAAGGAAGAGCCGGTGCCATGTGACATTGTTCCCACGTGATATGGCCCTGAGCTGGGACACAGTGGGGCCAGGAGAGCAGGACCCAGGGGCTGAAAGCCAGCTCAGTCAGCATGATTGGTATGGAGTGTGACGCAGGGCAGTGTGCACAGGGATGCAGAGAGGAGCTCCTGGCCTCCTCCTTGACCACCAGCCTCTTGTCAGCACATGTCCACATCCCTCACTCCTCTGGAGGTTGGGGGCAATAGTGGCTCTCCTTCCCACCCTGCCCCGAGCTGAGACAGTGCTGCCAGGGGCTGCTTGCTGAAGACACACATGGCACAAGTTCCGGGGAGAGTGACCAGCACAGGCCTGTCAGAGCCTCCCTTCTGTGCAGGAGCCCAAGGAGGAGCCTCTACTCAAGGACAGCCGCTGGAGCAGGGAGCCTGCAGCTTCTAGGGGCTTGCAGTCTTAGGAACCCCATCGGGCGTGTCCTGTCCCTAGGAACTAGGCCTGTTAGCCTCAGGCCAGCTCCTGGCACCCACGCCCCAGCAGGGCCCGCATGGTCAGTGTCCCTGCCTGCCCTGGCCAGGCTCTCTTCCTGTTTCCATGCCAGGCCCTGGGCCCCGTGAGCAGGTCTGAGAGGCAGGAGTACAGCCGCAAAGTCATGGCCCCACAGCCCAGAGTTCCCGGGCCCGGCGGCACTCACGTATTGCACACGGCCATGGTCTGGCACGCCTCCCCTGTGCAGAACTCCGAGATAGTGCTGTACTGCAGGTTGACGTGGTGGAAGAACGTGGTGGCTGCAGGAGGAGAAAAGAGCAGGTGTGAGCTCCATCTTACACGAGGCCACTGCCCAGATTGCTTGGAGCTGGGACAGCCAGCACTTCTCACAGACCAGAGACAAACACCCAGAGTGGAGCACCAGCCTTGGGAGCAGCCACCAGCTACCACCAGACAGGCAGCAAACACTAGGGTGGCGGCTGATAGCCATCGAGCCAGAGCGCCCCCCCCAATAGTGGACAAACTTCCCACCTCAGTGAGGGACACAACCTCTACTTTTACACACCCCAGCTGGAATGGGACACTGCCTGGGCACTGATTAAACAGAAGGCCAGTCCACCCACCATACTTCAGAGAAGAGCCAGTCCCTGCAGAATCCTACTACGTGTGCAGGAGGCCCACGTGTGGCATTCTATAATCCTGACCTCCAGGCCTGCTCAGAGCCCACACCGAGGCCCCTCAGTGCACTGCAGGGCTGGCCACTCCATGCCTTAGCGTCCAGCCCTCCTTTTCAGTGAGTGACAGCCAGGCCACTGGCCACATGGGCAGCACACCTTCTGCAGACAGAGCTCTGGGGGTCCCCAAGGACCCAGAGGGTGGCCACCTGCACTGCTTCCCTGCCAGCTGCAGCCACTGTGGCTCCCAGCCCAGCCGCCCCACGCACTGTTGCTGGCCAGCCACTCGTTGAGGTCGATCTCCCGGGGCAGCACCACCAGCTCCCTGAACTCGCAATCGGTGATCCTGGACTTGGCGTACTCCGGCTCCAGGTACACCTTCTTCTCCTCGGCCGCAGGCTTCTTCCCGTTGGGCTTTGCCTTGGACTTCCTGCCGAGAAAAGGAAACTGTCACCGCCCGGCAAGTGCCGGCATGGACTCCGGAACCCCAGGAGACAGCCCGTGGGGCACCGAGGAGGCTTCCTAGAGAAGCCTTGGGGTTTCTGCTCCCACTGGCCCCACATACCGTCCCCAGCCATCGTCTGGCTGCTGCAGGGGAGAGGGGGACACAGACACATGAGCCGGCAGCTTGGCGTCATGGGCTGAACTTGGAACTCTGACCTCTCCCCTACGTGGGACGCCACAGCCCCGCAGCCAGCCTGGCCCAAACCAAGGGCCTGGCGCCCAAGGCAGGACCGACAAGCAGGACACAGGGTTGGGCATTACTGACCCATGAACAGAGTCCCACAGGCAAGTGGGTTGTGGGTAGGCATCCTGCACACCTGACCCGACGGCCCCCTCCTGAACACTGTTGTGGCCAACAGCCAGAGCCCCATCCTCACGGGCTGCAAGCCCGCATGACCCCTGTCCCACTCGCCTCTGCTCCCTCGAGTGCAGGGAAAGGTTTCCAGGGAGAGGGAGGTGTCAGCCAAATGCTACAGAAATCTGCAGAAATGGCCATTTCCCACTAAAGTTTCTTCTTATTTAGGAAAACAGTTCTTTCCACAAAAATGTGCCATTATTTAACACAGAACAGGCATGTGTGGCTATTTTTATATGAATGAATCTGAATTTCTAACATGTCTTGTTTCCATATGAATAGTGACCATCGGTGGCTAAACACCACGAACCAATGCTCGCTGTGCTGAGGGGCTGCATCCCCTCCGCAGTGGAGGCCATGGCCCAGATCCACCTCCTGCCACTGCCCCAGGCCAGAGCCGGCCATGACCCTGCAGCTAAGGCGGCCAACGAGGTAGCATGTCCCCAAGAAGGAAATCTGTCCCAGGAGCGGCCAGAGACGCCGCCCAGGCTGGGCTAGACCAGGTCGCTGAGTCTGTGACACATGGAGCCCCTGGGCAGGACGTGGGAGGGTCCCCCTGCGCACAGGATCCCTCCTTGGCCCTGCCTCCTTGCAACCCAGGAGGGCCGTGTGGTCGGGTGCTGGCCCAGCCCCAGCAGCCTACCCTCAAGTCCTCAGACCTGCAGGAGAAGCCAACAACTCTCCTGGCCCCTGTCGCTGTCTCCACAGCTCAGCCCTGGGGCCTCGGTGGCCCTCCCCCACGCCCCAGGCAAGGCTCACATTGCGGGGGAGAGGGGGGCAGCAGCTGGCTGTGGGGTCAGCTCCCTGACCTTACCCTTTTTTTGTTCTGTTTTAAAAAGTTGCTGGGGTTTATTTGAGAAACAGGAAGAAAAAATGCTCCATGAACGCCAGGGAAATGTTTTCCCTCCAGCTTCTCACAGGAGATCTTCGCCTTAAAAGGCGACGTGTGCTGGCCTCTGGGGCAGGGCCTGAGTGGCCAGTGCCAGGGGGCCACCGGGTTCTGGGGACAACGGGACAGACCCAGACCTGGGGCCCTAACCCTGCCTGGGTGGGCCAGCTGGAGTGCGAGCACGGATGCCACACACTCTCAGGGGCACTCAGGGGTCCCCATGGGGGCGAACTGTTCAATGTGGACACATATGCACAAACTTCTAAGCGCCCGCAGCCTCGGCCCAGGCAGGGAGGCTCCGTCTTCTCCAGGTCAGAACCACAGAGAGAGACCAGGCCCCAAGAAGAGCTGGGAGCACCGGGGGCTCTGCTGATGCCTGGAGACACTCACTGGGAGTGGGTAGGTAGGGGGCCATGCCACTCCTTGCCCGCAGCCCTTCTTCTGACCCTGGGCCCTGTTCCCAAGTGATGCCCCACCATCAGAAAGCCAAAACTGACCAGGAAGGTCCCACTTTGGCCCCAGCAGGTGGGAAATGCCGCAGGACACTCCTTGCACCAGCGCCAGCCTCTGCACCGGCTGCGCACCGTGTCCAGTGCCTGGACCAGGCTGCTCCACCCACCCTGCCCCCTCCTCGCACGCACACACATACGCTCACGCACACTGGCCTTCGGGCACCGCAGGGCTGGTGCACACGACTTAGTCCTCCGGGTCTGGTGACCACAGTGTAGGGCAGGGCAAGGTGGGGCCCAGGCCATGGAGTTGGCTGCTTAACCTACCTTCATACTTTGCTACTTAGGAGCCATGTCACCTAGTGACTCATGAACATGCCTGAACACTAGCCTGCAGTGGCTGTTACAGGAGCGGCCACAACTGACACCATCATGGGCATCACACAGGCCTGCACGCTTCCTGTCCACAAGACCCATCCAATGTCACAGCCCCAGGGCCATCTGTGCTGAGCTAAACCATGTCCCTGCTGGGCCCACTGGAGGTGACGTGAGGCTGCTCCCTATTGGCTAAGAAAGGAGTCTGGCTCTAGGAACATGGCCACATGCAGGAGATCCCCCCCCCCCCCTGCTCGCACAGAGCACTGGTGGAATGGCACCAGCTAAAGGGACACACAGAGTGCCAAGTGCCAGCCCTGCCCCACAGGCCAGGGGACCCAGCCCTAGACACCTGGCTGGCATGGTCCTGCCCTCTGAGAAGCAGCAAGTTAAGTTCCAGGTTTTGAAAATGGGATGAATCAAAGCATGAGTCAGGTGGCGAGGGCTGGTAGTCCCCAGGTCCAGGGCAAATGCACTCCCCTCTTTTTCTAGCCCCCCCCCCCCCCTCAGCCTGCTGTGCATGCACTGTCGCTCCCTTGCGGGATAGCTCAGGCCATCGCCCAGAGAAGGATGCAGGGGGGTCTGGAAGGGGCGCTGTGGGATGTCAGAGAAAGGAAGAGACCCTGAGAGCAGGAAGGACCAGAAGTGGCTGTGTCTGGAGATAGACGGACATGGGAACTGGAAGGTCTAAGGTAGGGAGCAGTGGGTACGTGAGCAGTGGGCCCAGTGCTCAGGTGCTGGCAGGCCCCCCAGAAACTGCTCCACGGACAGGGGTGCTGTTGGTAATCTGAGAAGGGGAGCCACTGAGAGGACGGCCAGCAGGACCTCACCCTGAGCCTCAGCCAATGCCCCTCACTCCAGGTTACCTCAGGGCAGGGGCGCGGACATGAGAAAGAGCTGTTTGGGGGCAGTATGCAGGCAGGAGCGGGGGCAGCTATGTCCCTGGCAGAGGCGCAGACAGGCTCCTGCCAAGTTCCTCCCTAGGGCACTGAGGGGTGCAGGGACTCAGCCCCCACTCCGGCTGGAGCTGTGGTGCTACCCTGTCACCCCTGATGGCCAGGCCCAGACATGCAGGGGGCGCGGGCATTGGGGCTCTCCACCTTCGAGGGATACCTCACCCCCAAGTTTTTGATGCAGGACCCTGGGGTGGAGCCTGACCCTTGGAGCATCCCAGCCTGACTGTTCTCTCAGGTCCCAACTAGCCTGGCGCCACTGCACCCCGAGAGACAAAGAGCAGGTCCCGTCAGACCTCCACAGTCAGACCTCCACAGGCTACGGCGGCCGGACTGTTTCTCCTGGTTTGACTGCCCATGGTCAGTACCACAAACAAAGGGAACTTTCATAAGCTAATGCCCTACCAGGAGGGAGACTGCCCACAGGCAGCCAGAGGAAGGCAGGGCAGGAGCTCTGCACAACGCTGCCCCAAATGCAGCCACCGTGTGGCCACTGTGCTGTGGCCACGGGTTCCCCTCTGACTCTCTGACTGTGAAATAAGCAGCTCTTCCTTCAACACTGAGCCCAGGTGTCACCTTCGCCTGGAGTCTTCCCAGGCCCCAGGGGGCACGACCTCACCCCAGCCCCACAAGAGCTCACCTCTGGGGTCCCAAGCGCAGCTCAGATCATGGGTTCTGCTCTGTCTTCCGTGGGGCTGGTCCAATTCCATACCAGCCCTTTTCCATTGTGCACACCGGTGTATACATACCTGTGATGCACACAGGTGTGCACACACGTGGTCGCCTACGCCGTCCAAGACAGTTAGTCACTTTCCTAATTGGAACCAACCACCTGGAGAGTGCCACCAACCTGCTCACACTTCCAAATCCCCTGGTGAGCTGACTTGCTACAGTAGGGGGAGGTGGACACCAGAGGTGCCCAGAGATGCCGAAGGCACAAACCTCAGGTTCTAGAACTCAGCAGTCACTCCAGCAGGACCACCCATCAGGCTTGGCCCACACCCAGACCCCCACCACAGCCTGCTACTCACTCACAGCTACAGACAGAACTGGGAAAGCGAGACACTTCCACTTGACAGAGGACCCACTACCAGCACCTGAAGGAAAGCAGGCTTGAGCTCAACTGTGACACATCCCAAGGGACAGAGGCTCTTGGAGGTTAGGGACAGTGCTGGAGGGGCCCCTCTGCTCCCTTGGCCCCCCCATGCATGCGCACATTCACACAGGAAAGATGCTGCCCATGGGGGGGGGGGGGCGGGCACACTCTGGAGACCCTGCAGTAGAAGAGGTGCAGATGATCATGCCAGCCGGAAACGGCCTAGGTCAGTACTCCAGATACGGCTCCTCATGGACAGGCTCCAATCACCAGCCTGGAGACAACAGGCCACACACGCCTGTGGCAAAGCCTGTCCTGCAGGCTCAGAGGGGCAAGGCAAGGACTGCTGTGGCCAGAAAGACTCACCAGCAGGCCCTTCTCACCTCCCAAATGCAGGCGCAAACTCTCGCCCTCGAGCAAGCAGCTGGAGGCAGGCATTTAGGGGAACCCCCTGCAAACAAAGCTCCTGACCAAGTCCTGGGGGCAGCAGATAACTGCAGCCTGACCCAGGGCAGGGATCAGGGGTTGTCTGACCAGCACCCTGTGCCCAGAGTTCACCTGAGCACTCTGCCGACGGCCTGAAGCACCATTTTGCAGCTGAGTCCAGTCTTGGGGGGCTGGCTGAGCAGAGCCCGGTCTGCAGGGAGGCCGCTGTGGTCCCCCAGCATGCTGGGGCAGCGTGGAGGTGCCGAGGCAAGTGGGAGCCCCGGCACCAACGTCGCTCCCTCCCTGGGCAGTCTGCCTGGGAGCAGGCGACACCAGCCAATGAGGACGCGGAGGGGAAAGGAGGGCTCTGGCCTGGCAGACAC